GAAGAAGAAGAAGAAGAAGAAGAAGAAGAAGAAGAAGCAGCAGCAGCAGCAGCAGCAGCAGCAGCAGCAGCAGCAGCAGCAGCAGCAGCAGCAGCAGCCAGGCTTGGTGGCACACACCTACAATCCCAGCACTTGAATGAGCAGGAGGATCAAGGAAGTCAAGGTTATTCCAAACTACATAACACATTTGAGGCCAGCCTGGACTATATGAGACCCCTTCTCAAAACAAACAAAAATGGAAACAATTTTTCAATTTATCCATATTTCAACTATCAATTACTTGCTGTAAATTATGAGCCAGTATTTTAATATAAGTAGGAATCAATGGACGACTTACCTGTGGAAACCATCTTTCAAAAATTCTTGCCTCAAAATGATTTCAGAACAAGTGGCCCTTATACCTACAAAAAAATCAAGATGTTAAAAATTAAACATATTAAAAGAAACCTTAAATAGTTAGAAAATAACTACTAAAATATGCTTTACTTGCTAGAAAAATCTAACCATCTAACAGCAAGGTAAAACTTTTCAATGTAAGCAGCTTGAGCTACATATAAATCTATTTCCAGTAGTACATCATGGAGGTTGAGAATATCGTCACTGGAATTGGCTTGTCTGGTTCCAGGTCCTAGTTCATCACTTAACAGCTGTGTACAAAGGCTACCTTTCTGGAGTAGACGTGAGTGAGTGAGTGAGTGAGTGAGTGAGTGAGTGAGTGAGTGAGTGTGTGTGTGTGTGTGTGTGTGTGTGTGTGTTGCATCTCCCTTAAAAGCCTGTCACTCAACACACCAGCTCACCGCTTCATCTTTACGCACTGTTTGGGCATTCTCACACCTCCTGGGACGCCAAGGGTTCCCTGGCCTCTCAGCCAGCAGAAAGCAGCTTCAGGGGTACCCTAAACATCCCAAGACACTTCGTGGCTGGACTTGTTTAGTACCTTTGTCACAGTGTGGCCAGTCCCGCCTCGGAAGGTCAAAGCCCGGCTCCGACGTCCGGGATGGAATCCCGAGCAAAGATCACCGGGAGGGAAGCGTCGCACGCGGCTTTTGTTGCTTGTTACCCTCCTCCCGCCCCTGGTACCCCTAACACCTCGGCAAACCGCGGGGCTGAGGCGCCACGGGTGCTCCCCACCTCCGCCCCAGCTCCGCGCGCTCCCTCAGCACCCCCCGGCCCTTTACCAGAGTGGAAGGGGGCATCGCTGAGGTCCGCGGCGAGCCTGCCGACCAGCCCAGCCGCCCAGAGGAGCAGCCAGGCCAGGGCGCCGGCAGCCAGGACGCCGGAGCGCCGACGCCCGGGCGGGGCGCGCGGGACAAGCGGCGGTGGCCGAAGGAGTCTGCGCCCGCTGCAGCGCGCACCCCCGCCGGCCCGATGACTGGGACGCAGCGCTCCCCGCGCAAGTCCCCTAAGGACCCACGGAGCGCTCGCACTGGGGACCCCCAGGTCCCCGGGAAGCCCGCACTCGGCCCCGCCCCTTGCCGTCCCAGCCGGGGCGGGGCGGGGCGGGGCGGGGCGAGAAGCTGCGCAAGCGCCGTCCGCGTGCCCGCGCTGTTGCCGTGGAAACCAAGCGCGCCGTCTTGGGACCGCACTCGCCGCCTTTAGGCCCGCTTCCGGTCCACAGCCGGATGCGTGCGGACTGTGCCCGCTGCCTCTGAGTTCACCCCATGGTTATCCCTGTAGAGAATGGCTGTGGCCTCTTCCTGCAGCGTCAGGCTCCACTCCGCCTCAAAGGCGATATAAGCGCCCCTCTGTGCAATGCGGTTGGATGGAAACAACCCTTTCACTGCTGTTCAGATGTGCACTTCCTGTACTTCCTCTCGGGTAAGAAGGGTCGGTCGCCTTGCACTAACTAGTGAGGACATCAGGAAGGGAAAGTCGGGTCTGTGCTCTGGGAAATCCGTACCTCTTTAGATGCTGTGGAGAACACAGTCATTGCCAGGCGGCGGAGGCACACGCCTTCAATCCCAGCACTCGGGAGGCAGAGCCAGGAGAATCTCTATGAGTTCGAGGCCAGCCTGGGCTACAAAACAAGTTCCAGGACAGCTAGGGCTACACAGAAAAACCCTGTCTCCAAAAAACTAGAGAGAGAGAGGGATGGAGGGAGGTAGGGAGGGAGGGAGAAAAGAAAGAAATATGGACACTAGCCACTCCCCCCACAAATATCCAGGCCACCCTTAATCCCAGCACTCAGGAGGCAGAGGCAGGTGGGTGTCTGAGTTGAAGGCCAGCCTGGGCTACAGAGTGAGATCCAGGACAGCCAGGGACGTTACACAGAGAAACCCTGTCTCAAAATAAAAAATAAAATAAAATAATAAATAAATAAAAAGGAAAACTCTATAGTCAAAGCCCTACATTATTGTCAATTCTATTCACAAGTGTGGCCATTGGTTTGTGTTTGTGGACCATATAGTGTGTTTAGTAGTACTTTTTAGAAAGTATGCTAACATCATATTTTAATGAAGTGAGCTGGGAGTAATATCTGGTCATTGACTCGGATCAAAGGCAGAGCACAGCAGTCTGAGAAACAACTCTTATTATGACTAACCTCCTAAGAGTAAAAATTCTCGCATCTAACAGTAGGGGTGAGAATACAGATTATGGCGCTGTATGACAAATCTACTTGGCAACCATAAAATTTGCATTTTAATTCAGGAAATCCTATGACATAAAAATATCCTGTGGTGTGCGTATGTATGTGTGTATACATAGAGCTAGAAAAAAAGAAGTTAGGTGAATAGTTCATGTTTTCTTCCCCTTTTGTCCCCATTTTTCTATAATGAACAAATATAAATGCTGTCAATTTCTTAAACAGTATTGCCTATAGTTGTTCTCCAACAGAACTAAGTTACAGCTCTTGGGGGCCTTGAGATTCTCCATTCCATTCCTACAATGGTTCATATTATTGCTGTTGGCCTAGGGTAGGAGACCCCTAAGCCCTTAGGCCTGAAACCCCCTGAAACGCCTCAGCACGTAGGCCTCAGGGCTTCTGCTGTCTCTGCTCTCTTGTGTTTCTGCTTTAGCTGTTGTCTTAGTTCGGGTTTCTATTGCTGTGAAGAGACACCATGACCACAGCAACTCTTTTTTTCTTTTAATATTCTCAGAGACTCATACATTTATTTTATCAACAGATTTTTTTTAACAACAAAAAAAAATGTGCTGGTTGACAAATACGTACAGATTGATTCAATTATCAGAATTCTTTTTTTCTTTTATTAATAAGAGATTTTCTATTCATTCTACATAACAGCCACAGATTCCCCTGTCCTCCCTCCTCCCGACCACAGCAACTCTAATAAAGGAAACATTTAACTGGAGCTGGCTTACAGTTCAGAGGTTTAGTCCATTATCATCATGGCATTAAGCATGGTGGCGTGCAGGCAGACATGGTGCTGGAGAAGGAGCTGAGAGTTCCACACTGTGATGTGCAGGCAGCAGGAAGAGATCTGTGTCACTTCTTCCAACAGCGACACACCTACTCCAACAAGGCCACACCTCCTAAAAGTGCTACTCCCTATCCTGGCCCCCACAGGCTTGTAGCCATAACGTAATGCAAAATACATTTAGTCCAACCTCAAAAGTCCCCATAGTTTATCACAGTTTGAACAGTGTTTAAAAAGTCCAAAGTTCAAAGTCTCTTCTGAGATTCATGCAGTCTCTTAACTATAATCCGTATGGAATCAAAATAAAAAAACCAGATCACATATTTCCAGCCTATAATGGCACAGGATATTACCATTCCAAAATGGAGGAAAAGGAGGCTAGGGAGGAAATACTGGACCAAAGCAAGACCAAAAACCAGCTGGGCAAACTCCAAACTACATCTCAGTATCTGATGACAAAACACTCCTCAGATCTCCAACTCCTTTCAGCTTTGTTGACTGCAGCACACTCTTTCTCCTGGGCTGGTTCCCCTTCCTGTTAGCAGCTCTCCTCGGCAGGTATCCCACGGCTCTGGCATCTCTGACATCTTGGGGTCTCGAAGGCAATCCAGGCTTCTCCTTTACAGCTTCATGCAACGGCCTCTAGCTCCTCCATGTAAGGAAACTCCTGACACATGCCTGGCCTCGGCGGCTTTCCTTAGTCATGTGGGGGTGGGAGGACTCCATAACCCCTTTCTTCTTTCCTTGACCCAGAACCACATGGCTGAAGCTGCCAAGCTCTGCTGCTTCCTGGGACAGGAACATGACCCCCTCGTTCAAATACATCTTCACCAGCCTTCTGGTTTTGGTGAAGGCTGCCTGCGCTTGGCTGTCCTGGAACTCACTCTGTAGACTAGAAGGGTCTCAAACTCAGAGATCGGCCTGCCTCTGCCTCTGGAGTGCCACACCACCACACGGGCTCTGAGATTTTCTTGAATTCCTTTTCACGAGTTGGAAGTTTAACTGGGTAGCATCTTGCCCTGAGGTATCTACTCCCTTTATCCCATCTAACGTCAGGTTTTCTTTAATCTGTTCATCTCCTGGAACACAGGACTTAGCTCCCTCCACTTTCTGGTGCCCCTTTTCTCCGGGAACTGTACATTTTGTGTTCTTCCTTGCTCAGCTTGCTGCTTTTCATTATAAATCTTCTTAAGAGTGAACACTAGTAACCACACAACAGGTTCAATACCAGGCTGTTTGGATATTTCCTCTGTGTGGGGGGCCATCCCACCCCCACTTTTCCCCAGGGTACTCTTGAGTAGGAGCAGCAGGAAATATTAGATAAAAGAGGGGAGAGAAACAGATAGAAAACACAGGATAGCCTCGGGAGGGCGTGGATCCTAATCCATCAGGACCAACTGTCTCTGCCCTAGGGTATTTAAAGGAGAGCCAAGGGGTGGAGCAAAGGACCTCCTCCATCACAGCCAAGTGCAGACATCTCAGACACCTGCACTCAGGCCCGTGGTCCTGATCATCCTCTCTATGCAGACCTGCGGGGTAAAGCCACTAGGAAACCCGAATGGGCTCCGACACCTCTGTTAACACAAATAATCCAAAACTCTTCAGTTTAGCCTCAGGCAGATTTTTTTCTGGACAAGCGCAGAAAGCTGTCACATTCATCACCAAAACGCCACAAGAACAGTCTCTAGGCTACATACTAGCATTCTCCTCTGAGACTCCTTGAGTCGGCCCCCACAGTTCAAATCCCCTCAGCACCACTGTCTACCATGTTCCTACTGGGATGGCCCATTAAGCCCTACTTAAAGATTTCACCTGCTTTTCTAATCTGGAGTCCACATTCCTCCAAACAAAAGCATTGGTCAGGCTGATCACAGTAATATTCCACTCCTGGTACCAACTTTTGGTTTTTGGCTTTTGGTTTTTGGTTTTTCGAGACAGGGTTTCTCTGTGTAGCTTTGCGCCTTTCCTGGAACTCGCTTTGTAGACCAGGCCGGCCTCAAACTCACAGAGATCCATCTGCCTCTCCAACTTCTGTATTAATTAGGGTTTCTATTGCGGTGAAGAGACACCATGACCATGGCAACTCTTTTTTTTGTGTTTGTTTTTGTTTTTTTTTGTTTTTTGTTTTTTTTTTTTTGAGCTGAGGATCGAACCCAGGGCCTTGCGCTTGCTAGGCAAACGCTCTACCACTGAGCTAAATCCCCAACCCCGGCAACTCTTATAAAAGAAAACATTTCATTAGGGCTGGCTTACAGTTCAGAGGTTTAGTCCGTTATCATCATGGCAGGAAGCATGGCAGCATGCAGGCAGACGTGGTGCTGGAGAAGGAGCTGCGAGTTCAACATCTTGATCCACAGGCAACAGGAAGACATCTGTGACATACTTCCTCCAACAAAGCCACACCTACTCCAACAAGGCCACATTTCCTAATAGTGCCGCTCCCTATGGACCTTTAGGGGCCATTTTTATTCAGACCACCACAGTTACCTACTCTCTGGAACCTTCAATTGTCTTCTTGGGGCTGCGACTACTACCGCCAGGATGGAGGCTGCTATGAGTGTGCCAATTTTACCATGTCTTCTTTGTGTTGATAGCTCAGTCTGGTCTGCTAATACTGAAGATCAAAAGCAGGATGGAAAAGGCCGTTTGGAAAGCCTTTTAATGACCCGCTGCTGAGCCACCAGGGTTACTGCCCCTCTGGCTTGGGTGAACATAGGATTACCAACACTCACTGAGGCTTGGGCCTGGTGTGCTCTTGCTTTCCAAAGCCTGTGCAGGCTGGCTGGAGTGCTCATGATGGCTGTTTTCAGCTGTGGTTCTTCTATAGTATCCTCAGAGAAACAGTAAAGTAAGGAAGGAAATCTGAGTCTGTCCAGTTACAAGGAAAGGGGCTGCTTAGCTTACAGTTCCCAACTCCAGGCTTCGAGGAGTAAGAGAAGGGCCTGTGGAACCACTGCCCCGCATGGGCTCAATCATTCACAGAAAGAAGCTGCAACCCAAAACTAACAATTCTAGTAACGGCTCACGGTACTTCACATTATTTCACAATGTGTAACAAACAGCACCTAACTCCTGCCCCAATGCCCCGGGATAATGTATAGGAACCTTAGTTTATATTAATACACAGCGTTAAACAAGTATTACCCTTATTGTGTTCCAGATATGAGCTAAGAGCTTAATGAAAATGGATACACTTCTTGACTTCCTAGAGCAAGTAGACTAACAGGGAAGATAGATGGTAAGTAATGATTTTAAAAATAACCTCTTGATGAAGAAAAGAATTAAGACAGTACAAGGGGTGGTAGATCTGGTCTAGTGAACTGCCGTGGGGAATATTATTTTAAGGTGTGTTACTTTTGTTTATGTTGCATTTGTTTAACTCTGTGAAGCTGTGTTACTGTGCCTGTCTAAAACACCTGATGGTCTAATAAAGAACTGAACAGCCAATAGCAAGGCAGGAGAGAGAAATGGGCAGGGCTGGCAGGCAGAGAGAATAAATAGAAGGAGAAATCTGGAAGAGAAGAGCACGAGAGAAGGAGGAGAACTCAGGGGC